GTACATATTTAATGCAGCAGCAGATCATTTGCAACCACGTAAACAGTTTCATGGTTGGATGACTCTTCACAATGATCCAATGTGTCATTATGAGATGTCGTAAAAGTTAATAGCTTCATTTGTTTTTCTTACTGACCACCCATGATGTGTGGTGTTTTTTGAGTTAAATAAGATTGTGAAGCCAAATCTGTTATAGTTTCATTTATATCTACTTACTTATTATACAAGCGTGTAAAGTATATAATAAAATCTTGGCACTATCAAAAATGCTTTTTTTGATTATAATGTCCACTGCGACATATTTACCATTAAACATTGAAGAGCAGTGTCGGGAGTGGCGGATGCATGCTATACACTTAAATACCGCTTCTGAGAGGAAAAGTTATTGTGACAATTGAAGAGCGGGTGGTGGGATAGGTCTAGAGGGGGCAGTAAGTCCCACGTTCCAGGTCTACCAAGGTTATTTTTACGCTATAATAATATAGAGAAATATATAAAAATGGCAGTCGTCTAGGGGGTCTCTAAATCCGCCCTTGAGGAGAATCTTTATATAGCATACTATAGGATTTTAAATGATAGATAGTATTTATGCACCGATTCAACTTTTCCGGATTTTACGTTGATGACTGGATCAAATAATAAAAGAGGGTCTGTATTTTTGTATCGCCATAATAAATTCACTGTATTGATGTATATACACTAATCAGCTCCAAGGTTCATTTTGTATTCAACTATAAAATATCACATCGAGTCTTTCCAATCGTAATAATTGCTGCAGTTTGAGATATATCGCTAATTAATTGTCTAAACGATCGCATCAGTTAAACTAAAGACCCACAATTGGTCGTAAATACTAAATTTAAAATCACTTCACACTTTCGACTAATGCAAATACGTCGATTGTTTGTCAGGGATGACTCATATCCCAGAGATATTGCTTTAAGATATATTTAAATAATTTTCACTTCTGATCTGATCATCTGATCATTATTAGAAAAATGCTGGGAAAATGTTTGTAGTGAACAAGATTTGGGGGATTAGGGGTTCTACGGGGTAGAGGAGGATACATCTCAATTTTTATAGATAAGCAACTCGATATACAATGACAGAAAATTTGGGTCAAACACGAGTGCGATAACCGCTGATCTGCGATGAAGGGGTGTATAGATATTTTCCTTATGTAATTTAATTTATTTGTTACATGGTGTATGGTGTTTCAAATTCGACTATCATCATTGGATCTCTAAAATGGTAAGAGAGTCGGAGTTCATTTAATGGGGGCAAAGTTGCGCATTCAAGTAACTAAGAAAATGGCAATTCCGAGTGTTTTTTGCGATTTCAAAATGAAAAAGAACATTAACATTGCCAGTTTTTCTACTCAATACGGCATAATTGGAATTTCAATATGACGTTGTGTCCTGTCCTCAATCATCAACTATATTTTTATTATCCACGACATACTTGAGTTTTGCATACTTGAATAGAATAATAAAAAATGTATAATATTTCATACATTGGCATTGGAAAACCTTAGCTATTTGAAAAAATATGTATTCCTAAGTAAGCATCATATTTTTTTCATGTCATATGCCAAGCACTCCTTCAGTTTTTATGAACTAGGCAGATGTGTTTTCGATTTGAAGTATGTAATATTGTACATATTATTGCATTTATTAATGTTAGAAAATATCTAAAAAAAGTAATCTTCCTATAGTTGGTCTTAACTCGAATAAAGAACATAATGCCAAAACTTATTCATATTATTTAAGGGTAGTATTGAAATCATTGAAATCGGTACAATTTTATATAACTGATACAAATTATGAAAAGTAAATGAAAGCCTTGGCAATGATGCAGCTTCCTAAACGCATTTCATATTCGCCATACCTAAGCCGATGCACACATATTTCATTCAGATACTAATAATTCAAAATGTCGTTTTTAAGGTCAACTATGAAACTATTAGTTTTTTAAATGACTTACATTCTACCTTGTAGAAGACAGAAGGTTACTGTCTTGTGTATTTTGCTATGCCAGCTCAAAAAAAAAAATGGACAAAAAATCAAGCTAAATAATATGCAGATGTTGAAGTTCAAACTGGTTCTCAGGGGAGGGGTACCCATAGCCACGTTGCCAGATAGTTAGTACCGTCCATAGGACATGGGAGAAATTTCTACAGAGCAACGTTGTCATATGGGTCGGACTATGGACTTACTTGCTGATAAAAAATGTTTTATTGTTACATATGTTTGTCGTTAAATTTTTTGCAGAGTCTACCTACTTGACACCAATTTTTTCATTAGAAGTTTAGTCTAGAAGACGCGTACTTAGCTAATCGAATCTGGAAATGACGTTGATATTACCCACACTTAGGAGTAGTCTGTTAATTTTCCAGTGAGAACCGTTTCACCCACTTAAAAAACTTAATGCGACTAACACCACGGGTATTGGAACAATGGAATATATTTGGTGCAAACTTTTAGTATGTATCGTCTATTTTCGAAGGCAGTTATTTTTAAAATATGGACATGCACAATCCTAAAACACTCAACGTGTATGGTATTGTCTCAGGGACTTCAAAGAAACCTTTATTGTTCGCAGCTCCTAACTTAAAACAGTCAAAAGGCACGAAAAGGATTTATTCACTGAGTGAACTAAATACAGGTCTGCTTGCAGACATTAAAAATAAAGATTGCTTAACAAGGTACATGAACCTCTGAGAACTTGAACATCTCAAGCATTTTGTTCACGTAATAGCAACGTAAATACATGGGTAAAGTAAGTAGTGGATCAACGGAAGCCAGGTGATAGAGGACCTCAAAACCTATCGAATGAACCCCCCTATATGTGTGGTCTGAAATTTTATAGTTCAGGAGATATTTGCAATTTGGGAAATTTCGAAAAAAAAAACGGGTTAATGAACTTTCAGTCGCAATTACCCCTAAACCATTAGGTTTAGGGCTGTGATTTTTTTTGAGATGAGTTAAATGGTTAGTTTTAGCAATAGTTATGCCACTTTTTAACAGAGCTAATTAGAAATCAACGCAAAAAGTCTTAAATAAATTTTGTGTGAGAAATCTCTTCTATACCTCAACTTTGGAGCGCGGTAAAAAATTGAGACTGTATTTCATTATTCATTTTATCATAAAAACTATCTCAATCCATGTAGAATACACCCTTAAAATTTCAGCTTGCTACGATAAGTGCCTCACCTCAAAAATATGTATGTTTGACGCAGGGTATCTACATGTAAAAAAGAAATTCTATTTTACGACTTAAAGGATTTTGACATATGAGGTACTGTTAGATTCGCCTTAGCAGTGCGAATGATACTGTGTGTATTAACATTTTGTAAAATCAAAATGGCGGATTTTTTACGCAAATAGCCAAATCAGCTTAATGAGCTTGGGCATCCAACTCAGCATTCCAGGTGCGGGAGAGTTCAATCTTCGGTCCGACCAAAATTACTAAGTAGTAAGGCAATGGTCCAGCGCGGAATTTGTATCTAACGTTTGGCATCTGAGTAGAATCATGTCATATTCTCTGCAAGATTATGCAGAAATGCATTACTATTATGGTGCGGCCCTAGGAAATGCTCGAGCAGCTGCTCGCATGTATCGGTAGTATGCGGTTAGAAGAGGTGGACCACAACCGCCGGTATATCCAGACTATCGCGTTTTTCTAGGCGTCCAAAATGTGTATATGGAGGGCCGCATACTAGGCTCTCATCGTCAGCTAGGAGCGCCGAGGAGACGCCCAGAAGAAATAGAATACATATATATAATAGAAGCAGTCGAGAGAGATGCCTTCATAAGCATCAGAGCCATTGCCCGAAGCAGAAACATATCCCATACTTCAGTGCACGCTCGGAGAACATGCATCCCTACCATGTACAAAAAGTACAAGAATTGCTTTCAAGCGACTATGCATAACGGGTCGAATTTTGTGAGAATATGTTGAGAATGTGCGAAGAGGATGATACTCTTTTCGACAGCATCTTATGGATAGATGAATCCAACTTTAATCGAAATGAAATATTCAACATGAACGATTTCCATTCATGGAGCGTGGAAAATCCACACGCTATTCGCTGACACAGCTTTCAACGTCAGTTAAGCGTTCATTTATGGGATGGAGTACTCAACAAGAAATTAGTTGGACCATATGAATTGTCCGCCACGTTGACTGGTCAGTCATATCTTGCTTTTCTACAAAGCAGTTTGCATGAACTGCTAGAGGATGCATCTTTGGACGTTCGAAACCGCTTGCCACTTTCCACGGGATGTACGGCATTACTTAGACAACGCCTTTGCTAGGCGTTGGATAGGTAGAGGTGGACACATACGACGGCCTCCAAGGTCACTCGATTCAAGTCCTCTGGATTTCTTTATATGGGGGCTTTATAAGGGGATAATCTATACATCTGAATATACAAATGTCAACCAAATGCGCCAGAAAATTGATGAAGCAAAAATAAAAGTTATGGAAAACTCAAATTAATTTCAACATGTTCTTTAAAAGTTAGTTGAATTAAATTATCTTCCACATTTGTCGGTAAATCGCCATAAAGGGCGGCTAAGCACAATAGGTTCTGTACTTGTAGGTGGTGAGGATTCTATTGCGGTTCTTACATTTAACGCATCACAACAACGAGTGTGACATGATACTCTCATCGTAGCAAGCTGAAATTTACAGAGTTTATTCTACATGGATTGAAATAGTTTTTACGATAAAATTAATATGAAATACAACCTCAATTTTTTTTACCGCCCTCCATAGTTGAGGGATAGCAGAGATCTTTTACAAAAAAATTAATTTAAGACTTTTTGCGTTGATTTCTGATAAGCTCATTAGTCAGTTCGTTGTAGATACCACGCACATAGCCCACAAGAACACAAAGATACAAAGAGATGATATTACACAATTGCCAGCAACTTGAGCTTATACAAAAATGTCATATAGTGTGAACAGAACAACCATCAATGCTGAGCATTAATCACCTATAGCGAACATTTTAGTGATTGCTTCCATCGATTCGCAGTTTTGAACAAACTAATTGAAGTGTGCTGTAGTTTTCCTGACGAAGACCTTTTATTGGTTTTCATATCATATTTAGCAGCAAAATACCAATTTTAACAAAAAAATATTCTGCTTCTTTCTATCAAGACCACCAGTTCAATACTTCTCATTTGTATAGCTAAGAAAGTTCGATGAACAAGCATTAGATGCATTAAAAGGTTGTCCATGTGTGTAGTACAAATTTTGTAGTATAGCAACACGTATCTTGCAAAACCAATATTTTTCTTGAAGAAAGACAATTTGGTGTTAGTAGCCAAATAATAATGTGGACTCTCCTACAACTAAATTGCTCTTTATTGAAGAAAGTTGGAGGAATATGTCTGTATACATTTTTACGATAGCCTATTCATGGCTTGGAGGTAAAAGCCTGGGATTCTTACTTTGCCCAGATTTCCTCTATATGCATTGGGATATTTGACAAGGAAAGCTAGGCTCATTCATCGTGTCTTGTAGAAATCAGACCTTCTCAATGGAACTCGGACAAAGTCACCTGGTTGATCTGTAGATTCAGCTTACATGTCTAACATATCATTTAGTTAATTGGAGACGAATGACATAATATCATTCAAAGTGTATTAAAATGTAACCCAAGTAAGTTTTGATATACAATCAATAAAGCTAAGTTCAGAATACAACAGTTCCGAATCCCACCAGTAGACCCTTTTATATTGGATTGTCATATCATCTCGATCAATACATTCTTCGTACGAAAAAGCAAATCAAAGTAGGTGATGTTGAATTCTTAGTAGCTCCGCGTTTGCTTCGATAGCTGAATGGACTTATCAGACAACACAAAATATTAATCTCTTACTTACAAACTACTAAAGAATTATTCTAAGTGAATCTAACTGAACTGTTTCATATTTGGATATAGAGTATGTGGAATGTGTGGAAACTATTTTGTAGCATATGAATGGGTATGTGATTGTCCGAAGATATTCAATATTCCTGGATTCGTCACTTGAAAACCACAGACGGAGATGGAGGTGATTACCTTGTACAACAACTGCAACTCCTTATTAAAAGAATAATCACCACCAACAGCATACCAGATGAATGGAGGAGAGCGATCATGCTGATGTTCTTCAAGAAAGGAGATAAGAAAGACCCCAATAGTTATCGAGCAATAAGTCTGTAAAATACAACACTCAAATTGACAACAAGAATAATTGCGACAAAAATAAACGAACGAATAATTCTGCAAGAGGAACAGCAAGGATTCCGGGCAGGAAGATCATGCACGGATGCAGTTTTTGTAATAAGACAAATAAAAGAAAAGTCGCTGGAATACAACAAACCAACATATATGTACCTGATAGATTTGAAGAAAGCGTTTGATACAGTGAGAATTCGGGACGCGATACATTTATTATATGACAGGAGAATACCACTGGATTTAGTAAAAACTATTGAGAATATATATAAAGATAACATAGCTATGGTAACATGTAAAGGAAAACTCACGCAACCTATCAAGTATGAAACTGGCTTTAGACAAGGAGATTCGCTGAGCCCACTAATATTTAATCTGATAATGGATGAAATCACAAAGAAAGTTAAAAAAAGAAGAGGATAGATAGAATGGGAGAAAAGGAAATGGAGATAATGTGCTACGCCGACGACGCCATAATAATAGCCGAAAATGAAGATGATCTACAATGGAAACGAAAACTAGGATATACACCTATAAATCAAAAATAAGACCGATAATGACGTATACAGCGGAAACAAGAGCAGATACGGCGAAAACACAAAGATTATTGGAAACAGTGGAAATGAAAGTCTTACGAAAAATAACAAACCAAACTCTAAGAGACAGAGTAAGAAGTGAGGAAATACGAGCGAGATGTGGTATACAGGAAATAAACCTGTGGACCAAAAGAAGAAAAATAGAATGGAATCAACACAGAAAAAATGACAGAAAATAGAACAGTACGAACAGCAAGAGACAAATCGCCAAATGGAAGAAGATCAATGGGCGACCGAGGAAAAGATGGTCAGAGAACATCAATTGAGGCTAAAAACAGGCATGAGCCTATTAATAAAGTAGGAAGAAGAAGAAGAAGAAAACCACAGACTAGTTAAAAACTCCTAAAGTTGCACTTTTCATTTCTTCTCAAAGTCTCTGGATGTAAAATAATCAACAAATAAGCTACGATTTCGAATTTTTGCACAAAGAAGCCTTTTCAGGACTTTGTTTATTGAGACTACCTTTTATTTTATTCACTATGTCGATTGAAGATACATAATGTTTCAACTGATTTGTTATTTTGGAACTTTGCCCAACTCTTCATTGAACAAGAAGACTGTGTGGACCGTGGAAGTATGATACAATTTGACAGCAACAATTTGAGAAATCTGTATTTTGAAAACTGGGAGATACACAGTCGCGCATCGTTCTGTATTTAGATCGAACAGACTTGATAATAATTTCTGCGCGTCTACCTCAGTGGGCAAATATCCAAATCTGTTGTGAATTATTATCCAGATTATACCCATCGAATTTAAAAATAATTCGAGTGTTATTATAATATATACGTTATTTTATTAAATAACAAATTTCTTTGTTGGTTTCCCAGAATAAATGTCCTAGAGACAATATATGGTTTCCTACAACTCGTTTTTTATAATTTATCGCAAAAACTGATCTTAGATCTTTGAAGTCAACTTGACTGGTCGAGTTATTTATGAAAACAGTTGTTGCCTGTATTAATTTTGTATCCTGTTTCCAGCAGACTTGCTTTTTCAGCGTTGAGCTTCTTGTCATCAAATCAAGTTTGAAATAATCATTATTTTTTGTCGTCACAATATATAAATGCACTATTCTGCGATATTAGAAATTTGTTAGTATAGGTAGTTCAGAGTATCGATGCTGTCTAGGTCACAGCTAACAGTTTTGACTGATGTTTTCTCAACAATAAATATAGCAGGGAAAGTTTGGCGTGTATTGTGACACAACACTGTTATTTTTCTCTCCTGCCTGACTGTCTATGCTTCTACCTCGCTGACTCAACACAATTTAAACCACCGCCTACAGATAGAGTTGTGCTATCATCCTCCCGGCGAAGGTAATTTTGGTGATGGCAGCCCTCCTTGCAGATAATATGGACTTTTCTGCTTGAATGCTTGAGTTGAATGAGAAGAACAACTACTCCCTGAAAAAAACTTAGTTTCGCAATTATCTAAGAATATAACATATTTGATGAATATTAGATTGCCAGTTTCACATACTTGACCGTTTTCAGTTTTTTTGAAAACATATATTCCGAAGAAATACTCAGTGTCCACTGTACTTATTAATGACCTAAAATCGACCCGAATCAGTTCAAAAATAATTATCGATTGAGATGAATATAGATAGCCTTCAAATCTGCAACTTGATGTATATGGATGGCCAGGGTACTTAAGCTCTTAAATAAATCCCATTTGACTTTGTCTAGACATGTAAACAAAGTTATAAACATTAAATTTTATGGAGTGTAAATGACGAACAATCCGTTGATTGAATAAGGAAAAAAGGAATTAACGCCAAACCAGTTTATCATTAACGGAATTGACGTATACATGCACAGCTAAATTCGGTGACTTTGAAGGATATGCAGTTGGTTTTCAGCAACATGTTAGTAATGATTTTTTTCAATATAAGCATAATAAACGTCTTTTATTGAATGCGAAGTTCAGCTTGAAGCTATTCTGCCACCCTTAAAAATACAATAACAATGATAAAAATATAAAATCAATATAACTAAGAATCTAATATTGAAGTCGCAGTAGATAATAAAAGCTTAATTATGTATACGTATAATTGTACCAAAAAGGAAAAATTTTGCGAAGTCAGAGGTCAGAATACCATGTTTAATTTGTTATCAAATTAATTGGAATTTAGTGACATTAATGTATAAGGTACTTCATTAGAAAGTCTAACCGCGTGGAATTTGGAGTACTTATGAAAGAATGAGGTTTTGTGAAGAGGCATTGTAAGAGTCTCAGTAAGACTCTCTTGAGTGAATAGAATTTTGGATTGTTCTATAAAACCGAGGGCATCGAAATAAGCAAGAGCTTGTGAGTGTAAATTAAGGTATAAATCATATATCTCTCTCTCTCTCACCCTCAACCAATCAAAGTCTCTTAAAGAACCGCTTATCATTGCTAAGTAACATGCAGTGCACCCTAAAGGTGAGGCCAGTGTTAAAACAAAATGTTTTTTATAAATGCCCGGTGACATCATTAAATAGAAAGATATCTTTCTTAAACTACGTTACAAAATGAGTGAAATACAGGTTAAGGAAAAATAGTGAATTTTGGTGTGGGTATTTCAATGACCACTAACTATATTTATCGCTCTCTTTAGAAAACTTTTTTCTAGTGGAGCCACCAGAAATTCATACGAGATAAGTTTTTATTCTCTCATATTTTACGTGATTTTAAATACAGTGCCTTCTTACAATTGAGATCTATACCCTATTCGTAGTCTATTTACGCCCCGGCACAACAAAGATGCAGCGCGGCAAAGCCGCAGCCGCCTAAGCCATGCAGTAGCTATTGGTCATTCGGCGATAAAATTACGAACAAGCCCAGGATTCGACAGAATTGAACTCATGTTCGGGGTATCGCCGGCACGCTGACGCCGGCAGTTGCTGTTCGTATTCGGTGCATACATAGCGTGTGTTTATACATATGTACGTTAACATGTCGTCTACGAAAATATTTCTCCCAATGCTTCTTTCAGCCATGCTTCCTCTTCAGTGATGTCTCCTTCCCGAAAACGTAACAAGAAGGGACATTTGAATATTCAGGCAAAAGAAATTGTCCTTAACGTTTATAAGAGCGAAATTTCAGAGCATCCTGAAATGAAAATTCATGGTATTGAAACACGTGTCGCGAACAAAACAGGCTTATGTCCTAAGACAATTTTCAACATTGTTAAAGAACAT